TTTTTCTCTTGACATCTCATTTTTTTGTCCCTCTTTTTGCTTCCTGAATCAGCCTCTCTCTTCTGGGGAACCCATCTATTTCCAAAGCTCATGTGTTTTCCTGGGTTTGCAGTCCTGGCTTTGGTTTTGCAATCCCCATATGCAAATGCTGTGATTAATTCAAGGTAGAATTTAAGCACAGGTACATGCATGATCTTGGATAAGGATACTTTTCTTAGTTGGGGCCCTATTCTGTAAGAAAATTCCCCTAGCCACATCCTCCTATGTGACTATTCCAGAGAGTGAGATGAGCAGAGAGGAGCTTGCTCATGTTTTGTGCTGGCTCTTTTGCTATTGAGTCTGTATGGGATGGACTCATATGGTTGTGACTTCAGATAATAATAAAAAAGATGATGCTGCTGTAAATAAAACTCCATGATTTGTGTGCATTTAAAAAATAACAGAACTCTGAAAATGGAATTGCTATTATTAGCATAACTCTTTTTTCTTTGGAAAAGCCACAGATCACATGTGCTTCTTTCCTGTGAAATGTTTTATTTTTAGGTTGTAACACAGGCAGGTTTTTGTCATGCCTTTTCAAAGAATTTGTGTCAATGCCTCAGTGAATGTTTCTGAAAATCTCATTCTGCAGTATTGTCTTTTATAGGGTAAATGTTTTTTTTCACTGTAATTTTATACATCCTTAGTATTTCTAAGGGTTTTTTTTTTTCACAATCTGTCGTTTTTTCACATTCAAAAGCTACTACTTAAACTGATAAAGATGGCTGTTAGGATAGACTGGCAGGCAAGCTATTTCATCTTTACCATGGGAAAGGGTAGTACGATTTATGTTGAAATGCATATTATTTTAATGCTAAATATTTTGTGTCTTATGTTGCTTAAATAATTTTCATTGTGTTTCACAAGTGTTTCACGATAGCTTTTTTTGGTTTGTTTTAAAGTAGTGGGTTTTATTAAAATTGCACAGTTATGTCACTCACTGAAAACAAAACATTACTCCATTTACGAGGTGATGTCATGAGAGAAACATATCTTTTGGAATAAGTTTTTAAGACTGTGTATAATTGCTAGGTTGCAGATTAGTTTGTAATAGCACTGATTGCATTATTGGATCTGCAAGAGTTCTGGGTTTTTATGGTGTTTTCTGTGCAGTGAGTCATAATAATAATAATAATGAAGCATAACATGGCATTATTTGTGGATTTTTCTACTGATAAAATATTCCTGGATATATCATGCCTGCCATGTTACTTAGGGTAGGCTTTAAAATGTCTAAATTTTAGAGCTGTTGTCTGTTTAAGGTCTGGGCTTGGTGCCTAGTTGCTGTGCAGCCTGGTGACCCCACGGCATTTCCCTTCCAGCTAGATGCATTTCTGGAACTGAGGCACCTGCGACAGACCTTGAGAGGCTGGGGAATGCCAGTGGCCCTTTTGTCCTGCAAGTAGGGACAAAGCAGGAGGATGAAATGGATAAACCTGCTTAGGAATCACTCCCTTGACCTACTTTGAAAGTAAACACAACTTGAACGACCTAGCTAGGTCCACCAGACAGGTGGCAAGTGGGAGAAGAGCAGCTGACTGACCCCTGGCAACCCAAGAGTTGGATGCCGAAGGACCCTACGTAACCTCCAGAAGAAATGGGGCCTTCCCCGGGTTGAGGCAGAGCAGCCCAGGTCACATCAGAGGGGTGCCTGGCCAACTGTCCTGTCCCAGTGGCCCAAGGCAGATGCTGAAGAAGCAGAGCAGAACAAGTGTGTATGAGACTTCCTTAGAGTCCTTTTCCAGGACTCCCAAGACTTCCTGAGCCAGGTGCAATTTCTATGCATTTGGCCTCAGTTTAGAACTCAGTGTAGCCCCCTCAATCCATTAACTTGTCCATTTCTACCCTGAACAAGCCTCCAGCATCTGTGCTTTCCTGTGGCAAGAGGCTCCATGTTGTAACTGGAGGTTGGGCCAGGAAAGGCCTGTTTTTATTAGTGTTGAGCTAAGTGGCTTATTCTGTTGCTTCCTAGTTCTTGCATTGTACAAGGCTGAGAATGATCAGTCTCTTTGTTTTCTCATGCCAGATGCAATTTCCAGATCTTTGAGAACATAACATATGATATTCCAGAACACAGAAACATTACCACCAGTATCTTTTAAAAAGCAAATCCCTCCAAATGCAACTGTAAACTCCCTCTGAGTAAATCACTTTGTTTGATCTCTTTTGTACTGTACACTTACTTCAATACTTTCCTTTTGTACTCTCTCACATCTTCCTTGGCACAAAAACCTTTATGGCCATCAGATGAGGAGGATGACCTTAGTTTACTTGAGTCCCCCAGAAACAGCTGGAAGTAGTGCTCTAAGCTATAGAGGTGGCTTAAGTAAGCTCATGGAAGCATAGACATTTGCTGTAAGAAAGTGTAGTGAATGCTGAGAAACTATATAGGTAAACTAACCTAAACTAAATATCGTTGAAGAGAGCATCTGTCTTAATGTCTATATCTGGAAAGGCATATTAGGCGTTATAGGAGTCTTTGAGCTTCTCCCAGGTGGATGAGTATCCTAAATATTTAATATTAACTTCTAAGACAGGTTAGAGGATTGTAATCAGCAACTCAAACAACAGCGTCTCTTTTAGGTGCTCCTCAATCATGAGTCACTTCCAGGCTGCTGTACAAAGCATCAATATAGGTATATGGGTCTGACCGGAATTAAGGGGGACCTGGGGACGGCTGGTCACCCCAGTTCTGCAGTGGCTAAAGGAGTTGCTTGCCCTTTCTTCCTATTTATAGCTGCTCAGGTGTTTTCCCTCCCTTGCATCAGCTCTGAGGCTCAGTCTACCTCTTCACAAGGGACTTGAATTACCTAATGCAGCAAAAACATGGGTTTGTTGAACCCTCCCAAGGGTACTTGGATGATTCCCAGGTACTGACACCAAGAGTATTTTGATGACTGTTAGTTCTGACACCACGTATTTTGATGAGGGCTCGTGCTGACACAACATAGGTTCAGTGCTTGCTGCTGAGGGGGGCACTGAGACCTCCTACTTTCAGCAGCATTTAGCTGTGAACTCGGTGTGACTGAGGGGGGCCCCACCTCCATGGATATGATATCTGGTCTGAGTACATTTGAGGTTCTGCCAGCATCTTCTAAAGCCTAATTAGCTACCTTTACATCTTGGTGTATAAACCCTGGTGCATTCAGATTCCCTCACAACTCATGTTATTTGCTAGACTTCAGGAGCCTTCCGTTCCCTTATTATCTCAGGACCCTCTCTATGCTTTCTGGTAGTTGAACTTTCTAAGCAAAGCTGTCCAGAACCTTTTTGCAATATTAGAAAAGAAGTTTCCTTTGGACAGTGGTATTAATCTTACCTCAGTTTGACTGGAAATACATCTTCGTTGATGTATTCAGGAATGACAATTGTGTTTTTCAGGAAGACACCCTATTGATCTGGCAAATACTTTTGCCAGAAACAAGTGTAGTCATGTCTCTCTCCCTTATAAACCAGGCACTCCAAAACAACATAATAGAAATTCCCTCCAGCCCTAAAGTGCATAAATCTACTGTTTGTACAATTGAATTTGATCCTTTTACTAATACCCAGTTCTGAAGATCATCCAGCTCTTTCCTGTGGGAGTTTTTTCAATCTTCTTTATGCCCCATGCTTTCCAACTTAGCTTTATCAGCATATCTCATTAGAGCGCTTCTGGTTTTTGTGCCTGGATTATCAATGCAACTACCAAGCTGGCAATTTGTAGGGCCGGTGTGGAAGGATCCATACTACCAACTTTGTCCTGTTTGGGGCTTGCTCTGGGCAGTCACTGATGCCTACGTGGGCACGAGTCGGTGGCCCTGCTGCCTGTTCAGCCAGGGTGAAGCTCTGGAGAGTTGAATGGCTGCTGCCCTGCACGTGCTATCCTGTCCTTGCCCTCTCACAGTAGGTGAGGTTTGCCCTCAGCCTAAAGGTTTTTTTGATTCAAGCAGAATCATTCAGGTTTACTTCTTCTGCTGAGGTTGTTTGGGCTCGTTGCCTTCTGTCCTGTCAGTCAGCATGCCTGTTGCCACGTTGTCTCTACCAGTTTGACTTTGCTAGTTTCATCATCCTTAGGTAGGCCAGTATAAAATATTTATACAGATTTAATCTTGGTAAAATGTTGTGAGCTTTGAAAATGTTTAGTGACATTTCTGATGTAGTCGATTTGCCAGTCTAGAAAATAACTCATGAGGGAGAGGATCTGACTGGTTTAGCATGAAGAGTCTCAATAAATACAGCATGCATTAAACTTACATAGGGTTGCCTCAGGTCTAGTTGATTTTCCCTGCAGTGTTTCTTCCAAAGCCTTGTGTACCTTGAGGCTGGGTTTGCCTTTGCCCAGAGCATTTTCCTCTGACATTGCTGAAGCTGCTGGGCTCTCGGGCAGAGCGAGGGAGTGTGACAAGCCCGAGAGACGCCTGCCCGGGAGCCCAAGGCCAGGGTGGCACCCGCTGCCTGGGCATTGGCAGCACTGGAGCTGCCCCTCAGCCTGTGCCTTCTGTGCCCGGCAGCCTTGCCTGCCCTCCCGGTGTGAGCCTCAGCTCACCTGACGTGGTCATTTCATCCTCATGCTGGTGTGTCTATCAGGAGTCTGCTGGAGGCAGCTGCCATCTTCCCTCAGAAACAGCCTGGTACAGCAGTGACCCCAACTGATTTCTCACCCTTCTCCCTTACTGTTTCTTTTAGCAGCAAATAGAAATGTCTACTGAATTTAAATAATTGTCAGTGGCTGGTTTTGAACCTTCTATGAAGAGCTCCCCCCTCAGTTTTCCTTTTCCTACCTTCTAGTATTAAAAATCAGTGTATCCCATGCACTGTGTAATTCCATTGGAGGTGGTTGTTTCCGTGGTTTTTATGAACATTTCAGGAAAAGTATCCTGCAGATTTTGCCCTTTTCAAATGTAAATGAAATCAGTGCTTGCTGAGAGGGAGTGCAAGAACACATGCACAAGGTTTATGGTTCTTTTTTCTTCTTGCAGTGACCTGCTGTCTTCTGAATATCTTGAAAGGCATATCGAGCAAGATGGGAAGACAGTGGAAGTTAAAGTAAGAGTTTCCTTTTTATGCTTTGCTTTTTTAAACTTGCTTTGGTTGATGCAACCTCACCTATTTTCTTGAGAGATACCTGATTTTTCAGGCAAGCATGTCTCACGTCTTCTAATTTTTCTGCTTTTTAAATAATACAAATATACTTTATTGGCAAATTTAGTGTGTTAATGTTTGTATCAAATTAGTATCTATGAGAAATATATATGTGGTAGTTCTTTTTACAGTATATATAATTTATGTTTGATGCCTGTTGAAGAAAATGTTTCTGGTTTGGTAACTAGCCTTTCCTCATTGTACTAAACCTCAAATTGGTTGTTTTTAATGAGCTTCTTTGTCAGGTTGGGAATAGCAAAATTTATTGTATACTATTTCCAGATACCTAGTGACTATTGCAGATTATGGGTTTATTTCACTGGATGTTTCTTGGCATGGTGGCTACAAGATCCTGTTGGTTGCAGTTGTCCCCTGTGAAATGTCCCACTGCCTTTGCAGGAGTGCTTTGTTATTTACATGCAACATGGGAGAATTTTCTTGAGGAGCTTTTGTTTGTCAGACATCAGGTATAAAATGGCTGTAGATTACATAAAATATACATGAATGTAATATATATTGTCCATAATGAAAACTCTGAATTTGCCTATCAAGTCAAATTTTGTTGAAAGTTTGCATTTTATATAAAAAAAAATAATCCACAGAACTCTAACTAAATCTGAGGTCATCTAAATACCTTGAAACAAATGCGTTAACATCTGCAGTGTGGAAGCAGAAATAGACAAAGTGATCCTTTAGCCACTGAGTAGCTGAATCCTCTAGCTGCTGAGTAGCTACAGATAGGTGTTTCCTTTAATTTATCCCTTTCTAGCATTTGCAAACTTGAAGTCTGCTTTCCTTTTACTCTGATAATTGCATACGTTATCAGACTGAGGCAAACACATACATGTTCCATTAAACTATAAAGACTAATTGCTCAGTCAGCTGTGCTCTGCAGTCAAGAAGTCTTGACTCAGATTCACAATATGAGTCAAAGCAGAAATAAAGATAATAGCTGATATCAATAAGAACAAAACAATCCATTTGCGTGAGTCAAGGTATGTATGCAAGCTAGCTAAATTAATCTATTTGAGTCCCATCACTGAAATAGGACAAAGCTGTTTCTGATGAATAAGCCTTAATCAAGCACGGAACTGTTTGAAATCAGTGGCTTTTCTCGTGCAAGTACTGTTTAATTGCATGGGGAGGAGATGGGAGGATTGGGACTTTCAGAGGCACGTTGTCTGGGCAGAATATCTCCCAGTCTCCATGGTTCCAGGGATTATTCCCCCTTCAGTTAGCTGCTGTGCAGGATTGTGGTATATGTTTAGGGATGACTTCCACTGCCTTGCTTAGTACTCTTGAATCTGCTTTAATCAGAGAACCAGTTTTGCTATGTTGACTTTGATGCTCAAGGTGGATTGAATTGGCAGTGAAAGGATCATGAGGTTGCACTGCAAAGGTCGGGTGTATTGCTGCTTGGATGCGTGTTTCCCTCTCCATGCTGCCTTCAGCCTTGTGCACCTGTGGGCAGGGGCAAGGGGATGGTTGGGGCACATGAGGGACTCTACCGCACCCTCCTCACCCACTGCTCAAAACTCACTGAGGTTGGCAGGCAGCAGTCCTACAGAACTGTGCCAGGAAGGGGGATACATGTTTGTCTCTTGTTTTACTGCAGCCAAGTGTTGGGGATTGGAGGAGAGGGAAGCAGCTTCTGTGACAAAATGTCCAGAAGAGCCTGTTGGCTGCAGTCATGGGCACATTTTCAGAAAAGTTAAGATATCAAAAGATTTTTGGAAGAGTGCAGGCTTCCAAGTACATTGTGATGCCAGACACTGAGTAAGGCTAATTTTGGTACCCAATAGCTGTTTAAAAATAAATCTGGTTCCCTCTGACTAGCCAGTATTTTCCAGAGCACCTGTAAGTGCCCTGGAGAGCCCAGCTCATTGATCAAACAATTTCTGAGAAGCCCAGCAGTATCTGTTTTGCATTTGAGAAACTGAACTCTGGTTTTACATTAACACTTACCATTTACATTTACACTTACAAATGTTTTGAAATCTTAACTACAAATACAAGAATTCTTCATGATGGTGATTTAGTACCTTCAGTTACTGTGGAAACTGTTTACCATAACCAGTAAGTCCACCTTTAGAATGTTACTTACAATACACACCAGGCAAACCATAATTATTAAACTAGATTTTACAGATTGTGCCGATTGCTTCGGTACTTATTTAAAAGTAGGTAGTGAAAGGGTGCAACTTATAAATAAATCACAAAATACCTACCCTGCTACACAGCATATGCTTAAGCAGAAGAGGTATTTCAGAAAGGAGCCAGGCTTCTATCAGTTGCTCCAACACACTACTCTTCACCTACCTCTGTGCAATTTGTTTTTGTAGGCAGAAACAGAGGCAGCCTGGCAACAGCTCTCTTGCTGTTCTGGTGCAAGAACTGGTGACAGAAAGAAAATGTCCATCTGCCATCCACTGCCAGCTGCAGGCTTTGAGCAAGCCTGTTTATACAGGAAAAGGGCCTCCCTTTCTTGGCCTTCTTAAGTGACATGTTTTTTCAGATCCATGTGTATTTCCCCCTTGCATTTCTCAGCGCAGGAATACTGCATATACATGCAAATTGTCAGTGCTGCTGCTGTGCCATCAGCAGTATGGGAGAAGACAGGCACTTTGAGTCGCTGGTGGAAGCCAGCTGGGCGTACGCTCAGCAGTCTGAAAATGTTATGGGCATGAATGTGTCTGGGAAGCAGATTCCTGCCTTGCCTCAGACTTTTGCCACTCCTCTCCCTCTCCGTTCCTAGTAAAACTTTTTATGCTGTAAAATACCTAGAGATCTTCTGCCATTACTTAAGATGCTTCAGAGAGGAGAAAGGGGCAGGGAAAAGGAGAAATGGTCTGTTTGTTAAAACCACCACTTTGAAGGAACAAAAGGATTTTTATAGTGAGGAGAGGCTTCAGTTTAACCTACCTTTTTATTAGGCAAGAGACTTGAATTACATTTGATTGCTGTGTAAGTAATAACTTGGACCATGAAGGTGGAACATGTTACACATGTTTTGTAGGGTGCTAGCATTTAGCAACTGAACAGAGGCTTGGCTGTGAGATGTCCTTGTTCATTTGTCACATTTAGGCAGCACTGAAGACGTTCTTACTAAACCAGTAGCAATGTGCAGTGCTTAAGAAAAGCAAAAGGAGGTAGATCTTGTAATTATTTCAGTGTTTTGTGCCCCCTCTCCCCTCCCCCCCCCCCA